TTCAAAAAGTTTGTTGAAAAATGCCATTACATTTTTAAATTCCATTTGTCCACAAACCTCTCTAAGCCTCCCTGTATCTGCAAGGCCTAATCCTTAGTTCCAGAACTGTATAAACATTTGTTCATTTATTTATTAGGAAGGCATCCTTTGGCGGCACAAAAAGTTAGTAGTTAGACCCTACCTAGAAGTATCTCAGAAGGCGGACTGGCCTTCTGCTTCTGAGAGGGCACAGGCTTGGGACCCCAACAGAGCAATTCTACTCTGTACATGCAGGGTCGCCATGAGCTGCAATGCCAAGCCTGATCTTTGCCTAGATTTCATCAGGTTAGACTCTGTCAATTCCATTCCTGATGCTGGTTACTCCCCTGTGCATGAGGTCACGCCAATGTGAGCTCTCTGAATGTGCAGGTGTTTGCAGCTGTGCACGTGGTGACCATAAGCACCATGGCAGGTGATGGGTTGTGTCTTAGACCACTGTGCTGCTCTGTAGTGAGCTCCAGAGTGCTCCCTGCCTGCGGGCCACATCCCCACACTCTTCTATGTGACTGTGTGGCTGCAAGCACCCAGGAGGAGTTGGCTCTGCATGGGGTCTGACGGGGATGCCCATGGTCTTTCCAACCTGACTGCTCTCTACAGAGATTACTTTTTAAACATTTTTTTTTTTACTGTGAATTGGGTGAAGGTTACAGTGCTGATCATCGTTTTAATGCTCAACGATCTGTACGCATTTTGTTTCATCTCGTTCAGTGCCATCTCCTCAGTGTAACATCAATGAGCCCACCTCCTCCCCTCTCTCCATTTCCATCCCTCCTTCTTTCTGAATCGTATGAACTCTGTCCTTGGGTACATGCTGCCTTTGCATCTCAAAGAGTTGATAAGGCTGGTGTGCACCCTCCCGCTGGCCCCGTGCTATTGTTCCCGTATGGCCTTGTCTAGTGTTTGACTGAAAACGGAGCCATGGGGGTGATTTCAGTTCCAGACGTGAAGGGTGGCTAAGGGCCATAGTGGGGGTGGTGACACCAGTCTACTAAGATTCATTTTTCCTAAAATATGTACCTAGGCAAGGACCTCTGGTGATGTAGTGGTTACACATTGGGCTATAAACCGCAAGGTCAGTAGTTCACAACCACCAGCCATTCCGAGGGAGAAAGATGAGGTTTTCTACTCCTGTTAAGAGTTACAGTTTTGGAAACCCACAGGGGCTGTTTTACTCTGTCCTGTGGAGTCACTAAGAGTTAGAAGGCACTTGATGGCCATGAATTTGGTTTGGTTTCGGGGCATTTACTGTGGTCTTCAGTGACCAGGAAGACTATGACGCAGTTAGAGGTCAGTTGGGAATTCTTGTTTCCATGCGTCAGAATGAACTCGATGGCAATGAGATTTCTTTTTCTAGATAGCTTTGATAATTTCTAGTTCAGAGGACTTACGCTAAGGCAGAATAAAAGAATGGGCAAAATCAGGAAAGGTGAAGGGAGGAAGGTGGAAAAGAGACAGAAGAGGAGAGAAGACTACACGGCAAAGAAAGCAACTTACAGACACAAACCAAGACGAAAGGAACTTATTCCCATCAAGGATGCTGGAAGCAAACATTCCTTCCCAAGAACCTCCACAGGCCTTCTCTGTTCCTTACACGCTAAGAAGCCATCAAAGCTAAGGGGTTGGAAGTTGGCTAAGCATAGAGGCTTCCTATGCAAAACAGGAGCTGGAGAGAGGGCTCGTGGGTGCAGGTCAGTCCTTTAATAAATGCCTCCTACAGAGGCTAAAGTGCTTGGCTGTTCCACACAAGGTTGGCAGTTCTAACCCCAGCAGCTCTAAGGGAGAAAGCAGCAGTGGTCTGCTTCTGTAAAAATTATTCCCCGGGAAACCTCACGGCGCCCATCTACCTCTCTCTAGGGCCTCTCTGGGTTGGCATCATCTCCACAGGAGCCGGCTTGGCACTGAGTTTTGCCTCCCCCTTGCCCAGCTCTCTCTGAGGTGCTTACCTTCCTCACAATGCTCGCCTTTGTAGCCAGCCGAGCAGACACAGTTCCCGTCAATGCAGGAGCCGTGGCCCCCGCACGAGGGGTCGATGCACTGGTGCAGGGGCACGTCGCACTCCGCGCCTTTCCAGCCACTGTAGCACTGGCACGTCCCTTTCGAGTACTGTCCATTCCCACTGCACAGGACAGGGCAGGCGGCTGCAAAGACCAAAGAGAGGGCACCGGGTCACCAGGGGCCAGTGTCTGATGGGCTGCATCAGGCTGACGAGGCAGAGCCGGCCTGATGATTTAGCTTTGCCTCCAACATTAGCTGAGGACTTGGGCTGTGGAGGCACAGAACTGCTTCAAATATACAAGGGCACCAACGACCACAGTAGCCCTGGTGGCAGAGCGGGCGAAGCACTGGACTGCTGATGGCAGGGTCAGCAGTTCTAACCCACGGGAGAAAGTTGAAGCGGTCTCTTCTTATAAAGATTTCTCATCTTGTAAAGCTAACAGAACAGTTCTACTCTGTGCTATAGGGTCGCTATGAGCTAGAATTAACGTGGAGACAGTGGATAACGTGCAGCTAGTACTACTAATTATATGCCTGGTACAGGTGTCCCTGGACAGTGAAGACAGTTAACTTGCTTGGCTGCTAACTGAAAGGTTGGAATTTACCCAGAAGTATCTCAGAAGAAAGGCCTGGCAATCAACTTTGAAAAAACCCAGCCATGGAAAACCCCAGAGTCCAGTTATGACACAGCTGGGGTTGCCAAGTGCAGGGGAGAATGCTTTATGATTCTGTCATCACATCCACCCTGTGAGGCAGGTGGAGAATCAGGGGAGGCCAGGCTTGGAGAAGGAGCTCACCCTGGGTAAAGTGGAGGGGCAGCGAAACAGAGACTGTTCAGGGGATGGACTGACACTTATAAATGAGTCTTACACTGGGGAAGTGACCTGCCCTGAGCCCAAAGCTCACCAGTTGGGGAGCTTGATTGACTATCAGATTGGCCTGAATCCAAGGTGGGCCCTTAACTAGCTGACAGGGGTTAGTTACTATTCTAACTGTGAGGTCCACTTAGCTGATTATGTTCGCCTCAGGATTAGCTGATTGCTTGTAAAGTTTATAATGATTCCACAGGAACAGAGTCTAGGCTGAAGGTGTGAACTCTGAAACAGACCTCATCCCAGCTGGGACTTTCTGATGCGCTTAAGTGGGAAAAGGCTGAGAATCAGAGGGGTTGTTGGATATGAAGTTACCTTTAGTTTGCACTGGTTTAACCCCAATCATCCAAAGAGCCCAATCCGTGTACCCAAGATCCGAACTGGTGGCTGTGCTGCTACACACCAGACTGAGAAACCGCGGCCTTTCTCAAGGTTGAGAAGACTTCGTCTCACTGTGTTCTCAGATGCACGCTCAACTCTGGGGCGGTATGGCACATGGGTGCACCTGAACTGCCATTCTCCCTTCCTGCACATCTTCCGACACCTTGAACCGATCGCAGATCTTATCCCCTGTGCCTCAAAGCTTTCAACACCATGCTGAGACCTCCAAGCAGATAGGGTTGGCATTCAAGAGGAAACTTACTTGTCATATCTGATCTAGATAAAATTACACGTGCCACTGGCTGGGAAGAGATTAGCATCAGCCTTGTTCTTCTTCCTATCCCCACCCTACACATTGAAATAAGAAAACTTTTAGTGAGAAGTTGGACCATACAACGTGCAGCTGGATGAGTTTCCAAGAACTGATTCTGAAATCAGGGTTATACCTTAGTTAAATAATCAAATGACAGCTACTGGGCTTCGGTGGCACACATAAATGGTGGTAGGGAATTGTTGTTAGCTGCTATCAGGTTGGCTCCAACTCATAGTGACTCTATGCATATGAGAAGAAATATTACATGGTCCTGTACTATCCCTAGGATTGGCTAGGACATGAATTGTTAAATTCCATAGGGTTCCATTAGCTTATTTTCAAAAGTCAATAGCCAGGCCTTTCTTCCTAGTCTGCGCCAGCTTGTCTATCATCATAGCAACTTGACATCCTCTACAGTTGGGTGATGGCTGTGTGTATCTGAGGTGCACTGTCTGGGAATCTAATTTGGACCTTCTAGAGGGGCGATGAGAACCCTATCATTGAACTATCATGGAAGGGGGTATGAAGTAAGTAACAAATAATGATTGTCTTCATTAATTGATAAAATAGAGTAAGAATTTTTTTCCCCTATTCATATGGAAAACAATTGCTTTGCGACATAAATTCCAAGTGGTGGAAAAAATAGGATTGACCAGTAGGTAAGAATGGATTTTATTTAAAACTAAGTATCTGAGAAATCAAATTTAAAATATGACCTACTTAAATTACTTAGGAAAAAGGGATGGAAGGTCATTAGGTCAGAAAGTTCTCCACACACCAAGTGCAGCCTTCTTCCCAGGAATGTGGTCAAAAATGCAAGATGCTGTGATGCTTGCTTGCTAGAGAGCAGGGCACTCAACGGGGTGGACTGATGTCACAGAAAAAGCAGAAGGGAAGCTAAAGAGAAGACGGAGGCTCTTGAGTAACCCACTCGCTACTGGAGCAAAGAGCGTGCAGACAAAGCCAGGTGAGCTCTGCCAGGAGTGAAACATCTTTTCTTGGGGGCGACTGATCCATCCTTAGACATGACTCGACCCAGAGCCTCACCTATATATGACTGGGTCAGACTATCAGTCCAGAGGCTGGATGAAAATTAGGGACCTCTTGAACTAATAACCCTTCTTATAGTTCAGCAGATCTGTATTACTATTATTTTTCTAATGACAGGTTATAGGGACACAAGGGGAACGGCGAGTGAGATGAACTGGCACAACAGTTCTACCAATGGACGCAAACATGCCAATGACCATGACTATGAGTCAGGACTAGGCGGTGGGACCTTCTATTAAACACAAACGTCGCCATGAGGTGAGCAGGCTGGAGGCAACTAACAATCACGGAATAGGAAAAATGACTCTGTTTTTACCTCTACTGAAAATGGAGTACAAGCGGGCAGAGAAAGGACTTTAGGGTTAGAAAGACCTGGGTTCATAGCTTGGCCCTTAACTTGTTGACTTTCTCTGGTGCGGAGTTTTCTCTTAAAAATAAGATGTAAGTAAAATGTAAGTAAAAATGTAAGTAAATTTCTTCTGAGATACTTCTGGGTAAATTCAAGAGACTAGAAATCTGAATTCTGGGTGCCAGCTCTAATTGTAATTGATTCTCCAAAAATCTGGATGATGCAAGCAGCATGAAGCGTTGGGAGGAACACGCAGTCGTGTCCATTCATTTCAGCAGGTCGCATATGCCAAAGAACCAATGGCATTGAAGGAAGGAGTTCGAATTGCACTGAAGGCATTGGCCAAAAACAGAACTCAAAACCAACTCGCTGCCAGTGAGTCATTTCTGACTCACGACGAGCCTATAGGACAAGGAAGTGTTGTCCCTGTGGGTTCTGAGAGCCTCATCTTTCCGCTGAAGTGTGGCTGGTAGTTTGAAATTGTTAACCTCAGGCTAGTAGCCCAATGCATAACCTGCTATACCAACAAGGCTCCAGGCATTGAGAGAATACCATTTGAGATGTTTCAACAAACAGATGCAATGTTGGCAGTACTCACAAGTCCTGGCAAACTGACTGGAAGAGATCCATATTTGGGCCTGTTCCAGAGAACAGTGAAACAACATAGTGGGGGACTTACATAACAATCTCATTAATATCACATGCAAATAAACTTTTGCTGGAGACAATGAAAAAAATGCTTACAGCAGTACATCAACAGGAAGCTACCAGAAATTCAAACCAGATTCAGAAGAGGACGTGGAACTAGGGATATCAGATGTCGGATGGATTTTGGCTGAGAGTAGCAGGAAGAGATGCACCCCTGTTTTATTGACCATGAGCAGGCACTCAGCCATGTCAATAACAACAACTTATGAATAACATAGCAAAGAATGGGAATTCTAAATAACCTGTACTCATGTGGCGTCATTAAAACAGAACGAGGGGATATAAAGTTAGGGTGGTGGGTGTTGGGGTTCTATCTTTTCACCACAAAGATCAGTCTGCATGCTGACCCAATCATCTGTGAAGCTGGACTGCATGATGAGCTGCACGGCGTCAGAATTGGGGGAAGACGTTCACAAGCCATGTCGATCTGTAGATGATGCAACCTTGCTTGCTGAAAGCAAAGGGGATTTGAAGCCCCTTTGAGGAAGATCAGAGGAAGATCAGAGGAAGATCAGAGATTACAGTTAACTATACACAAAAGAAAACCCTCCTAATTGGACCAATGAGCAACATGGTGATCAAAAGGGAAAAGATTGAAGTGGTGGAGGATTTTTTTTCTTGCTTGGATCCAAAACCAGTGTTCATGGAAGCAGCAGCAAAGAGATCAACCACTCACTGCTTTGGGAGAATCTGTTCAAAAGGATCAACTTTGAAGATTAAACGGTCTCTGACCCACCTGAGCCAGGCTGTTCTCAATGGCCTCTCATGTGTATGAAAGCGGGGCAATGAATAGGGGAGACCGAGGAACACCTGACACCTTTACATGATGGTGTTTGTGAAAAATAATAAAGTATAACGGGATTGCTTCAAGAACAAGTAAATCTGTTTTACAAGTAGTACAGCCAGAGTGCTTTGTGGGAAAGAGGGCTGTAGACCTCCTCTCCTGTGCTTTGAACCTGTTGTCTGGAGGGACCAGTCCCTGGAGAAGGACACGTGATAAGTAAAGTGGACGGTTAGCAAAAGAGGACGACCCTTACTGGGGTAGAGCGACGCAGTGACGACAACCATGGGCTCACACAGAGGAGCAGTTGTGAGGGTGCAGCAGGACTGGGCAGCATTTCATTCTGTTGTCCATGGGGGTCACAGGAGTTGGACCAACCCAACTGCACGTTAGTCAACAGATGTATCATAAGTGGATCACTTTGAGAAGCAGAAATCTATTCTTTCATCGTGTGAGAGACTAGAAATCTGAATTCCGGGTGCCATCTCTAGAGGAAGGTTCTCTCTCTGTTGACCCTGGAGGAAGATTCCTGTCTGCTTTCAACACCTATGGGCCCATGCTCCTTGGAGATCTCCATGTGTTTTGGCATCAATCTTCCATGGGCTGAGGGGATTCTCAGTACTGGGGCGGGACTCTGGGTCCAAAGGACACACTCCACTCCCAGCTGTTCTTTCTTGGTGGTTCTGAGG